CTGCCAGCAATGGAGCCTGGGCTGCTCCCAGCAGGGCTTGCAACGTCCCAGCTGCCTGCTGGGAGCAGCCTGGGATCCTGGCTGGCAGCAGCTCCTCAGAGCCAGGGCCAGCTGCAGCTGGGAGGCTCCAAACATCTCTGCCAGGCTCTGGCACCAGGTCCACACCGGTGTGTGCAGGCGCACCTCTAAGTGGGCAGTGGGGGAGGGTCCTGAGGCAGCGCAGCCCCAGTCTCTCCCCAGCTCTCCGCATGGAGGTGATGAGCAGCGGGCTGGCTACAAACAGCTGCACTGGGTTCATCACCTCCATGCCAGGAGGAGAGACCGGGGCTACGCTGCCTCAGGCCCCGCCCCCACCGCCTCAGAGGCGCGCCCGCACACTTGTGGAGAGCTGGTGCCGGAGCCCGGCACAGCTGTTTGGAGCCTCCTGACTGCAGCTGGCCCCGGCTCTAGGGAGCTGCTGCCAGCCAGGATCCCAGGCTGCTCCCAGCAGGTAGCTGGGACACTGCAAACCCTGCTGGGAGCAGCCCAGGTTCCAGCAGCTACCCAGAGCCAGGATAGCTGCTGGCAGCCACAGAACCCAGGCTAGGGGGCACGGGCTTTGGGTGGGGGGCAAGGGGCACAAGCAGAGCATCCTGCCACGTACCCCTTGCCTTCATTTTGTTTTTCTGCCATGCCAGCACTCCGGCACCTTCTGAGGTAGGCATTATGGTGTTTTTCGGCACTCCAGCCAAAAAACATTGCCTTCCCCTGGACTACAGTAATTCAAGGTGTAAGAGAAAGAAACAAATGCCCCTCATTTATAAGACTCACCCACCATATGACAGGAAATACAAATAGCTAAAAAGACATTACGTTAAAAATAATCAAAACAAAACAAAATAAAAAACCTCTCAAATATCCCTGAAGCTCAGTGAAACAGAGGTTTCTGGGTTATATAAGTGTTTTACATGCCGTCTTAGTTGAGATGCTTCAGGTTTACTTTATTTGAACAAGTATATAATATGCTTTTACTTACAGAAATATTCAGGAGTCAGGGTCTTAATTCGCCAAAAACATGCAATGTAGCAAAAACCAAGAGCATGTCACTAGGTAATTTCTGATGACTAGTATGCATGTTCCATCAGCTGCGCTCCTCTGTTCCAACAGGTTGTTAAAATTTGTAAAGATACAGATAAAAGATGCTTGTGCATTTCTACAATCCATCCACTAGTAAGAACAAAGCAGATTATGGTAGTGGAGGACCAGTGACATGATGCTAAAATCAGATGTGTAAAACATTAGAAAATGAGACATAACTTTGATAATATCCACTGAACTTTCTGATAAAAATACTACTGAGAAAAAAGTAGTAACTGCCTTGAATCAATTTAAAAACTAATGGAATTATCCACAATCTTTATTTCTTTATAATGTCTCCCACTTATTTTTGGGAACCTGCCATGCATTCAAATGGCATCAAGCAGGAAAAGCTCTAATGGAATCCACAAACTATACCCTAAAACTTAGTCATCATGATGAAATATAAACATGTTACTATATATCTTTGAGTTTCCAAGTAATTGAAGTTCTAGAGGACCTTATTGTCCTAGGCTAAGTACAGATATTTGGGAATGTTAGGGGGAGATTAGATCGGATTCAAAATGGCCACCCGATCCAAGGTAAGTCAGGATGTAGGGCTAGCGGGGGGAGAGGGGGTTGCGGGGATGTGGAGGCAAGTAGGCTGGGGAGGGGAAAATTGGGGGTCAGCCAGGGGATGAAAAGGCACGTATGATCAGCAAGGGGGGTGGAAGGCAGGCAAGATCAGCGGGGAGAGCGTGGAGAGGCAGGCGACCTATGGGGGGAGATGAGGGAGATCGGGGGGCAGCAGGGGTTCACGGAGGGCGGATTACTGGGGTCTGGGAGGGTCTAGTGGAGTCAGAGGGACTTGCAGGCTCTATGGGAGGACCTGAGGGGGGAACAGGGGCTATTTTTAGCTCCCAAGACCCCGGTGAACCTAGCCTCATCCCTCCAGCTCCTCCCTTCACCAGGACTGACTTACTCAGCTCCGGAAGCAGTGAACGTCACTCCAGTGAACCCGGGGAGCAGCATGTGGGATAGAGAGAACGTGGGAGGGCATGGGGGGCCAGAAGGCTAAAAATAGCTAGGTCCCAGGTGAACAGGCATGAAAAAGCACAGCCCCAGTGGGGGCAGTGAATGCTTTCCCAGCCCTGAGGTTGAGGACTTAGGTCAGTGGTTGCTTTCCTAGTCCTGGGGCTGTGCAGAGAACTGTACAGAAGTTCCATGCACTGGTCTAACTTTGACTGAATATGTTTGAGTGGACATTGAGCCAGGTCTCTCTTAGACTGGGTTTGGCCATTTTTAGACTGGTCTGTGTGCATGGAACTTCTGTACAATTATGGGTTTAGATTGGTTTCTGATCACTGAGACCGGGTCTGAGTGTAAGGTCCACACCTGAGGTGAACTAAGTTACATCAGGTGGCCATTCTGAACTCAATCTAACGTCCCCCTAATCCCCACCCCAATGTCTGTACTTAGCCCCTGAGTGGATATTTCAGGGAACTGCTGGGACTGTACCCTCCTTAATAGGGTAGAGTTACTGTGGCTGGCAGTGGCACACTTACACAAAAGGCATTGTTCCACATGCATAATCTCCCCAGAAGCAAAACAGCTGTGCTTCCACTGTGCTGTGGCTACACTGACTAGGCCACTGGCAACACCATGCAAATACAACACTGATACTTTTCATTTGGGAGACGCTATGTGCATGCGTAGTTGAGCACTTGAAGTTTGCAGTGTAGGTGTGACCACAGTATAGACATGGTATTTCATTTTCATGTCAAATAAAGAAGTGGCAATAAAAAGAAAGGGTACTGTGTAATTAGCGTACACCTTATTGAGAGCTGAAATTGCCCTAATTTCAATTATTTTAAGAACGTGGACCAAGACAGGGCCTATGTCTATGTCATATTTTTCAAAAGAACAATTGCTCTGAGGTAGATTTAATAAAATTAAGATGTAGTACAAGATGACATTGATCAATACAAGGTGTGAGAAATTAACAGATGCATTAATATGAGGAACAATATTTAAAGTAAATGAATTAACATTCTATGTTGATACATTAATCAAAAGTCTAAGAGCCTGAAATCTTCAGTCAATATTATTTCCTGTAATTACAACATTTTCAAGATCATTTGAATGTATGGGCTTTGATTTACATTATCAAATATAAGGCACTGACAGACTTGGAAAAAAAACAACCCCCACCCCACAAAAAACCCGTGCTTTACCGGAAGCAGCTATGCATTACTTCAGCCTGGCTCCACAATGTGTGTATACATTGGGTGCTTTAGCAGGGCTTTTTTAGTACTTGTATCTAATCTCTGATTCAATCAGCTATTAGATAAAGGCACCAAAACAGCCCTACTAAAGTGCCCAATCTATATAGACATTGGGAAAGCCAGGTCCAACTAACGTGCTGCTTTTTCTGTGCTCGGCTCCGTACGGAAGTGTGGCGAGTTTCAGGTAAAGCGCCGTTTGTTTGTTTTTTCTTTACATCTGCAAACAGCCATACTGACTAACTCTTAAGTAATCTGACTAAATATCAATGAAGCTCTGGGATATCTATCTATCTATCTCAATCTCCAATACTTGTATTCCTAAGGAAACATGGGTTTAGTTTTTTAAAAGCAAGTTTAACAATCTTATCATACCTGGTGAGGGAAATGATATAAAGACATGTCACCTGTTAAGTCACAAGCAGATCAGTACCTCACCTTTGAATCTCAAGTTAGTGCATTTTATATTTTTATAGATATCTATATATACACACACATAGACCTTAGCTAGA